TATTTTATATTTCATGCATTATGTTAAATTTGTGCTTAGTTAAAAAAAATCATTTGAAAATATCATTTCAGATCATCCAAAGAGAAGGGTGATCTTTTCTTTTGTCATTTGCATTTCTGCACGATTCTGTAATTAAACCTTCAAAATTAGTCCGGCAAATTTTATAATATTATGCTGATTCTTGTTATTTCAATTTCTCCAATAATCATTATTTGATGTGTTATTTTAACTCAGAATATGGTTAGGTTATTCACAGTTTAGGATATTTTAGTGTATATTACTTTAATAAAAGTTCTGACACAATGCTGGTCAAAGAAAATAACAGCATAACCTAAAATAATTGTTACAAGTTCTTTTAAAAAAAAAAAAAAAAAAAAACATGTACACGAAACTGAAGAAATTATTACTAGCTATCTGGGGGGGGGGGTCTATTGATGCTAAACTACCTCTCACCTTCATTTTAGTGCCATACAGCTTCATCATATAGCCTGTAGAAAGATAAAGTATTTATAACAGATGAATCTTGCTTCTGCAAATAATGAAGCATTCTTTCAGTGGTCTTTAGTCCTTCATTGGGAATCATCTGCCCCCCCAACTTTTCCCTTGTTTTCCGTTTCTTTGTCTTCTGATGCAGAAAACTTCTGTTTATTCTGGTGAATAGTGCAACACTATTTTACCATCTTCTTAAATTTTCACTCTGCCCCATCCATTCACCATCTGTAATGTCTTCTCAGCCAGAAATTTTCTTCACTTAGCCCATTATATCACAATTTTCTGTCTTTTCTGTTCTTTTTTAAAACTCGTTTCGTTGAATGGTCCTGCAACTTTCTCCCGTGACAAATGAGGCTAGTAACCTCCCCACTACATCCAGCATGCCTATTTTCTTTAGCTTATCGATTATGCCACACCCTACCTCCATGGCTGAAAAAAAAAAGAGTTGAAAGGAGTTTATGTGCGCGTCTCTTCATTATTTCCAGAATGCCTTAAGGCCCATTTCCACTACTGCATACGAACGCGTTGCGTCAATTGAGCACACACTTATGGCATCTGCACAAGCGTTTCCACTGCAGCGTATCCGTAAAATATTTTCATTTTCCACCACTAGCTGTCACTGTAATATTTTTTCGCCAAACAACCAGTTTGCGAGTTATGACACTGAAAAATCTGAATTTTTCCCGCTTAAGTGAGACTTGTTTGTTTTGGATTTGATATGGATCCTGACATAAAACACAGAAAAGTTTTGTTTACTAAATTCCATGTTATTGGAAATTTTTATTTCTGCCTTTAAACTACGAAATTAAAGTACGCTAGCAATTTTTAGGTAAGTAAGGTTATAATGCATATTATGAAGATCACTAATCGCATAGAAGTAAATTTTAAACATTTCTTTGTGTTTCTAGAAGCCTTAAATATTAAAAAAAAAAAAAATAATATACAGTGAAACCTCATTACAACAATATTTTAGGGACCAAATAAATATATTGTTGTAGAGAGGCATATTGTTATATCAAGGGCCCACATATTTTGAGCATTTAATAAGAGTTTTTTTTTTTTTATTATTATTATTAGTTTAAGGTGCATAACATACTACTTTTAAGTCTATATTTAGAAGAAATTAATTTGTAAAATACTAATAATAGTGGTTTAAATACTAAAAAAATAAATAAATAAGATAAATTCAGAAAATAAGCACATAAATATTCACATACGTGAAAACACTTTTTATTGAAAATAATCCAATATTTTTGTTTGTTTATTGATTTTTTTAACTGTTAAGTCCACCAATACTGTATGCATTGAGTCTAGTGCACGAAAATGTTCTTCATTTGTCGACGGAAGGCTTGAAAAAAATGTCCGTAGAGAATTCACAGATTGAAGAGCTTCCTAGGATGACAATAAGGACTGCGATGGACCTGTATTATCATCATCATCTTCATCATTGTTTCCTATCTCATCAGTAATTTCAGAGAGAATATCTTCATCAGTAACTCCTGCGAAACCATAAGATCATCATCTGCTGTTAAATAGTCTTCTATACTAATTCCAAACTTTTTACCGCTTGTTTCCTCAAGTTAGGATACGGATTTTTTTATGTGCAAAACACATTCTTGATCATCTGAGAGATCATTGTCTATGGAATTCTCATCATTATCAGATTTCTTATCTTCCATAACACAAAGACCGGCCTTTTTCCAGCAATTCCGAATGGTTTTTTCTGTTACTTCCCACCAACTTCCAGCAATATTGTCACACGCTTCCTTGACATTTACAGCTTTGAAAGGGTCTTCTACTTTATTTTCAAAGTTTACAAGTATGGAGTCCACCAACCGTTTTCTGTAATATCCTTTGAAGCACTTAATTATGCCCATATCAAGAGGCTATAAAATTGAAGTGCAATTGGCAGGGAAAAAAGCGATTTCGATATTTTGTAGCTTTGGAAATGACGTGTGAGCACCGCAGTTATCTATCAACAAAACGATTTTTTTCTTTCTCTTCTTCATTTCATTGTCTAACTTCTGTAACCATTCGTAAAAAAATTTAGACGTCATCCAAGCCTTCTTATTTGCTTTATACTCCACGGGAAGACTTTTCACGTTCTTAAAGCACCTTGGCTTCAATGATTTACCAATGACGAGAGGTTGTATTCTATGCGTTCCTGGGCTATTTACACAGAAGAACAGTCAGTCTCTGCTTTGATTTCTTCCCTCCATAACACTTTTCACCCGTGAATGCCAGTGTTCGATCGGGTAGGAGTTGGAAAAACAGCCCAGCTTCATCTGCATTATAAATATCTTCTGGAGCATACTTTTCTAAGATTTCTTTCATCTTGTTTGGCCGCCATTAATTTGCGTCGTTAATCGGGGCTGACTTTTTCTCTCCGTGAACTTCTTGGAAAGTTATTCCATGACGATCTCGAAAACGCATTAACCAACCATTGCTAGCTTTGAAAGTTTCGTTCCCTAGCATTGCTTCAAATTTCCATGCTTTTGCACATAATAAAGGTCCATTTATTGGGACATTTGTTGCTCTCATCTCTTGAAACCATTTTAAAACAGCAGCATCAATGTTTTCATTTGTCGTAACTTTCAGTCGTTTTCGCTCTGGGTTAATTTCATTTGAAGTTACAGCATCTTCGATTTGCTTTCTCTTCTTTAGGAACGTTGCAACTGTAGATTGCGATAATCCATGTTTCTTAGCCGCATCAATCTGCTTCATTCCCTCATCAATATCATTGATAAAGTTCAGTTTATCTCGAAAAGATAGTTGCTTTCGCCCTGCCATCTTAGGGAACAATATCGTATGAAAGAAAGACAAATGTTTCGCGTAGAACTCAAAATCGTTAAACACTATAAAACAACCTTTGAACTCACTTTTCAGTACGTCACTTAACAACACCCCGCCTCCATCTGCCCCTGTTCCTCTAACAAAGGGCACTTGTTCTGTGACAAGGTGACCAGTCAGGTCTAGATGTCCTTAAACCTTATCAGAATTCCAAAGCTTACTGGAAAATGAGACTAGGCATACATTTACACTTCACCCCCCTCACCCACTCCAATTCCCAAAAGGGTGGTCTTCATCTGTTTTGAAATCTGAACAATAGCTATTTATTCAGGGATAAGTTGAATATCCACAATGAGTCTTAATATACGGAAAAAATAACAAAAGAAAATGAAAAAAAAAAAGCATTTAAAAATCAAAATATTATTATAAAGGGAGAAAATAGTACTGAAATTTATATTGAAAAAAATCGTTTTACAGAGGTTTATTATTCTAGAGAATATAGCAATATTGAGGGGAGATTAACATTAGTTTATATGCAAAACATTATTGTAGTAGAGGGAGTTATTGTTGTATCGGGTATCGTTGTACCGAGAGTTTACTGTATATATATTATTAAATCTAAAATGTACGGTTACTAAAAAAATAAACAAATAAATAAATAAAATGAAAAAAGTTAAACGAATTAAAAAGTAGTTGTTACTTTAAAAATACTGAGCAACTGTAAAGAAAGGTACACAACACTTACACAAAATTTGTTATGCTTGTATACCGCGGACTGCTAACTTCAGGGTCATAGCTGGATAATTTATTAGAAATCTTGTTTGTTTTAAAATGCACTATGGGCAGTTATATTTTATTATGCATAATCCATAAAATATTTTTAATTAAAAATTTTTTAATTATATCTCTTTTTATAGAAGATTATAAAAATAAGCTTTTTCTCTTTATATATACACACATTAGTTAAAAAAATGGAAATATTTAATTAATTAATTCCTGCGCTTCTGCTGGAGAGGACTGAATTTAAAAGCAATTATTATAGTAACTTTTTGTTAAAAAAATGTTTAGGGCATTAATTCTGTCTCAGGTTAATTGGTAATGAAAGTTTAGAGCCGTAAACATCCCAAAGCCTGAGCACGTGTATGTACATTCACATAAAAGTGAAACGAAAATATATATATATGTACAGGGTTTCAAAAGAATAAATAGTAAAGTTAAATTAAATTTAAATAATTCTCTTGCGCCATTGCTGCAAGGAATGAAATTTGAATTTAACAAACATTCTCTACTTGTAAAAAGCAAATTTAAAGTTGATGAAATTTAATGTAAACAAATAAATGATTAATTATTGCTGCAAACTAATCTACAATATCATTTAAATTCTTAGAGCATATGTAAATCAAGTGCAAGTATCAAAATCCATGAATAAATAGACAATTCCAAAAATTTATTTACCCTATTATTCACTTATGCACTTTTATAATTTTTTAAGGATTTTTACGAATAGAGAATGTTTGTTAAATTCAAATATAGTATAGGGTACGCTTTAAATTCGTATTATATAGTTTTCAAAAAATTTTTCGGGGAAAATTTGCATAAATAAAACATTATATTCAATGCATATAATAATAGAAATAAATTATAAAACATGAATATAGATCAAATTTGAACAGAAAGCTAAGAAAGTTGCAGACAGGGGCGGAAAAGCTTATGGGATTCGAACTCACGACCCTATGTGTTAAACCTTGTCACCGTCAGCTTTACCACTAAGCTAGCATCATACTGGAATGGTAAGCATATTTTGACTTATATACATCATCAAGTAAATCAATTCTTAAAAACTAAATTTTTTGGTCCTATTTCAGTGTGCTGTCATCTAAAAAATTCACCAGAGTTTTTTCTTCAGCTTCTAGGACATTTCTTACAAAAAATCTCTTTTAAAGTGCCGTTCCATTTGAAGTTAAACGGGGTGCTAAAAATATATTCCATGTGCTTACAAATATATGTTAGACCAAAAAGGTATATTTATAAATAGTGAAATACAAATTTAACATACTCTTTAATGCAGTGGAATATTTAAAAGGCTGTCAAATTTAATTTATAATTAACATTTTTAGTTTTTACCTATTTCAAAAGAGAAAATAACAACTCTTTTAATGTCGTATCTGATTTGCTACAGCAGTTTGATATAGTCAGACGTTCAGTTTCATGAAAGGTAAATGTGTGTTCAGAGAACTTAAAAAATAATTGTCAGGACAAATTTTGGTATTTCATGGACTTGAAATTATAATTTTTGCGGCTGAATTTCTTGACTGCGTGATTTCCTACGCGAACTAGTACTGTAGTTGTAGTCTTTTGTTGGACCCCCTTTTTTTTACATGGATAAAAGCATTTTCAAATGCAGTCCTCCAAAATTCAGATTAAACTCACAGTTATAAATTGAATGCCCAGATGGACTCTATTTTATTTCATCTGTAGAAATTGTCCTTTTGAATTACTTAACATCTTTCAAGTCAGCAGATGTTTTTTTCACCGCAAACTTATAATTGTCTCTAGCCTTTCTTCTGTTAAGCCAGCCAACACTATCAATAAATCCAGGTTCTTGAAATTTTTCATGTAATTTAAAGGCTTGTGCTTTCAAAGTGTGTATTTCTTTTCCTTTTTGCTACCTAAACAAGAAATAAAGCATCTCACTCACTTTCTTGTATTCAGCATCTTTCATGCTTTTCCTCTTCTTTAAAGTATCAATATATGCTCTTTTCATACACCAAGATTTGATTTTGAACTATTTCTCTTTTCTTCCTGTTGTACTAATTCAACAGTACATGGCAATTTTATTACTACTTTCCTCTTTCTCACTCTCTCTAAAGTATCTAATTTAATTTTCATTGTTGTTTTGTATTCATTTCTTCTTGTTTAATATCTGTACTTACACAAACAACAAAGCAGTTGTAAGCCTGGATGTAAACTGAGAAGCTGTACCAAAAATGAGCTAAACTTTTAGCTTACATTATAGTACAAATCTAAACCTTCAAACAAGCCTGCTAAGTAAGTGGTAACACAAAAAAAAAAAAAAAAAAAAAAAAAAATATGCGAGTGGTGATTCGGCAACAGCCCCTGACTTTAGTTATCTACTTGGTTAGCGAGATTCAGAGTAGGATAGGTTTGAGTTTCTGGGAAAAGAATGAAATATATCACCAAATTCTTTAATTCCAAGAATTGTGTCACAGAGAGAAAGGAACAAAATTAAAAAAATAGAATACCTTGACAATCCCTTGAACAAAACAAGAAAACACGCATACATTCATATGCTTAAATATGTACTGTAATTATTACAGCACTAGATTACTTAAAACATACCTATGCTGTTTGCACTTATAGGCGATGTTAGAAATGATCACAGTTTATTAATAAACCACCACATTATTTCAAAGGTAATTTTTTGTTTAACCGTTGGAAATCGCTTAGCAATTAAAAATGTGATATTCGAGTTTGTGAAACTGTACTCTGTGCTGTTAGTGTTTGCAAGAAAATGCAGTTTTCTAAAGGAATATTTAAACCTAAAACTATTTGAAAGATGTGTATTGTTTTATTATCAAGTGTCTTTAATACATTTTTAAAAATGTCTACTTTTTAAGATGATTTATAGTTATCTATTTTCTGAACTCTGTCATAATTGTTTTTAACCACTATTTGTGTACTTTTTTAATATAGAATTTCTGTAACTGGCCAGAAGAACCATTTGAAGAAATGGACAGTACATTAGCTGTTCAACAGGTATGTAATAATTTTCAGAAAGTTTTGCATACTTTTTAGCTATTTTAAAATTTTTCTCTTGTCACTATTTTAATTATGAAATTAATTTTTCTAGTTCATACAGCAAACCATACGTAAGGATCCTGCTAATGTTGATGAAATATTGACTCCACCTGATGGTCAAGATGAAGGGGTTTGGAAGTATGAACACCTTAGGTAACTGCAGAAACTTTTAAAACTGCCTATAATTTCATATGATGGTCTTTTTATGTCTTATACATGTTTTTTAAGTCCAGTATTTGTCATGATAAATATAAGTGATTTTTTATAGTAAAGTAATGGTCATTCTGTTGTATTTTAAGCATTCATGTTTTTCTGATTTGGTTAATCAACTTTGTCCAATTTACAGTACTAATTAAATAATCTTTTTGATACATTATGTCTAAAAAATTTTTTTCTTCTGTGGCATGTAATTTCATTTTCAGTTTTTACTTAATTGTTAAAACATGAAATTCTACATATTTTAATTTGCAGGATGTTCAAAATATAAAAGAGACACATTCCACTTGTTACACTTACCTAGTTGACATTGTATGAAAGAGAATGTACTTTGTCCATTCAGGAAACACGCCTCAGTCATTGAAGCGCTCTCTTGTGATGTGTAGGATGCACTGTATTGTTAGGATGAGCAGTTTAAGTTGCTAAACCGAAATTTGGAAAAAAAATTACATAAATGAAATTTGTGTTGCAGTTGTTCCAGTTTTTTGGTGTTTTCTGAGAGGACCAGCCAGCTAATTATCAGAAGTAATTTTATCATTATAATTTTCTTGCCATTTTAAAACAGAAAAATGTTTTGCTAAATGATGTGCAAAATATTCGCCTCAATGGCTAGCCAAATTCCAAGAGCTACGAATAAAAACCTATCACCAAAAATAAAAAAAAATAAAATAAAATAAAGTGTTCAGAAGCTTCGAGAACATCCCTATGTGTTTATATCTGCTGATCCAATTAATAGACAGCTTTGTTTATTTACATTACTCAGCCTCCGATTCTGGTTTTAATTCTTAACTAAAGACCAAAAATGAAAAATATTGCTTGTAATGAAGGTCAATATTCTCTGCTCTTGATAAATTCCACTATAGCAGACATGGGGCTACATCTAGTGACAAAAAAAAAAGATACTAATTAAACATTCTATCTAAAAATTCATATATAGTTTACCCATCCTGACAGTGCATTTAAATGGCACTCCATACAACACAACCTGTGATACAGGTTATCGACTGATGCATGTATGACACACACCCACCCTGGAAAAAGGTAAGTTTGCAGCAGCTTACCTTTTCGAATTGTTTGCCTTTTATCATCCTTTTTCGCAAGTTTAGTTTCATTTTCCTTAAACCTAGGGTTTGCAAAGGAACAATATATTCTCAGAGTTGCCAACTCTCCCGATTTAGGCGGGAGACTCCCGATTTTCAACCACTCTCCCGGCAATCCGATTTACAATATATTTCTACCGACTTTTTCTTATTCTTAAAATTTATCACGATTTTTATGGAACTTGGCTTGGTACTTCGTTATATGAACAAAAAAAAAAAAAAAAAAAAAAAAAAAGTGATTTTGGACGTCTGAAAGCAATTGAATTTTATCTAGATTATATCTAAAACAAAACCTTGCGAATTAGAGGAGAATTTCTGCTTTGTGAGTGAGAGCATACATATCCAGAAACGTCGTTCTCCAGTTCTCCAATGGGCATCCATCTCCACTGCTTGTCATCTGGCATATATCGGCTAATGAGCACAAAGCAAGCTCAAAGCTGTTAGTTGTATGTTCTTTAGTTATTTCGTTCATCTTGTCCTGAGTTGTGTGAGTACACGTGCCTTTGGGAAATAGTTTTAGAAATTATCATCTTTTGTTATGTCTGCGAGAAAGGTGAAATATTCGTGTACGTGTCAAAAATCGTACGCAGTTGACTTTCCTTCCATTATTTCCTCAAGGAAATGTAATAAATTTGCGATGTGTACCGTCTGTCGTTGTGATTTTTCGATTTCGCATGGTAGAAGGGCGGATGTTTTCAAACATGTGCGTACACAAAAACACAAAGACAACATTAGTTTTTTTAAATTACATTGAGTTGTTTTGAAAAAAACGAAAAATTAAATTTTTCTTCGGAAACAAAGGACCGAAAAGTTATTATTGTGGAATGTCTGTTCTCTGCCTTTTTACTGAAGCACAACCTGCCACTGAATGCATCGGATCACGCTGCAGCTTTATTTAGAAAAATGTTTCCCGATAGTGAAATCGCTAAGAAATACTCAAGTGCAAGGACCAAAACAGGTGCAATTGTTAAAGAAATGGGTTTGAGAAATAAATCTTTAGTTATTGATTGCATTAAAACAGCTCCATCCTGCCTCTTTACGAATGGAAGCAATAATACCAATTCAAAACTGTATCCAATTGTTGTTTCTTTTTTTAAATCCAGTGTCTTCAGAAATTAAGTGAAGTTTACTTTTTGTCCCCACTTTAGAAGGACATTCGACAGGCTTTAAAATAGTACCGCTAATTATTAAAACTTTAAAAGAAAATGTAGTCCCTCTGGATAATTTGCTTAGCACTTGGTGCCGATAATGCACCAGTAATAATAGGCTTGAAGACTGTTTGTTGCAGGCATCTTAAGAAAGGAAAATTCAGATTTGCAGATTATAAGGTGCACCTGTCACCTCTCAAATTTAGCAGCTGAAAATGGGTCAGCTTCTTTACCAATAAATGTGGATAAACACATTGTTGATATTTATTATTATCTTGAAAGAAGTTCTAAAAGGAAGGAAAAAATGAAACAGTTCCAACAGCTGCATAACTAATATTAGTGATGACGCATTAGAAAAACTTTTATTAGCGAAAGCAGTCCTACGTGGCAATTGCTATGAATAAAATTATGAAGTTTCTTTCTTAACAAAAGCAAAATCTGCCACTAACATTTGTACGAAAACTGATTAAAGTGTCTTTTCTTTTTTTTCTTTCTCCTTAAACGATGCAAGCAATAAAACGGTTTTTTATGAGTAAGGTATTTTTGTGTTCCTTGCATTTAAGAATTAGTAACTATTTAAAGTTAATTCGTTATTAAAAACTATATTTTTATCATTTAAAAAGTCTTTTTAACATTGTGAAAAATCTCCTGATTTCTTAAAAAAGTCTCCTGATTTTTGAGTGTCATAGGTTGGCAAATATGTATTCTTTTCAAAACTAAGCTTTCAAGAATTTATGTATTTCACTAATAAGATGATTTTCCATTATTTTGTAGCATGTTTTTAAACAATTATTGCTCTAAAACTATCATTTACTAGTGTGAAATTCACATGAATTTACTAGAGTAAAATAATATAATAAAATATTAAATACAAATATTTTACAGTTATAAGCTTATATACTTTTGCAATATGATTCCGTATTATAGCTGATGCTGTTAAGTTGTGATTTATTTATCTCGTATATGTACGAATTTCTTAGATATAGATATTTTAGAACACTTAAATGCTATCAAAATATTTAAAGAAATATATAACTTATGTTTTTATTAAAATACCTAAAAGAATTTCTTTTTTTACTTTTGTTTAAATAAATTCTTTCATGAAACTAATAATTTATATTAATAACCTTAGATTTCTTTCATTTCAGGCAGTTCTGTATGGAACTTAATGGTTTAGCTGTTAAACTACAGGTATTTTTTTTCATTTGAAATATTTTGTTGATTATATTATACATATGTAATAATTATATACATATGGTTACCTGCTTATTATGACATATTTAGTTTCAGTATGTGATACTAAATGGGAAATAGTTTTTGAAAAGCTGTCTAAAAGGTAATTACGAAGCTGTGACACATGCAAGTCTAGTTGGGCTGAAGTTAAGAGTAATTCAGTTTTAACATATGTTTTTAGCAAAAATAAATAAATAAATAAACTCGGTGACGTAACAGCCCTAATGGCCTAATGGACCTGACTTTCTTGACAGTAATCATTGCTCTCTGCAAACTAGTACATAGTTGCAGTTATCTTTTTTTTTTTTTTAATTAATTTATTTATTTTTAACCAAATTCAGTTTACTGCTGTCTTTTTCATTACACAGATTTCTAGCTATAATTTTAATTCAGAAATAAGTATTTTTTAGCAAAACATTCTTTCCCTGATCCAAAGTTCATCATTACTTCGGCAGCTGCCGCCATTAGTTTTTGGTGACGACACCTGATTACTTACTCCTTTTTTACCAATGACCCCCAACGCTTCCGCAGACATACAAATAGAAGTTGAACATTATTAAACTTCGTCCATCGACGGACAGCAGATGTCAATCAAAATCAATTCACTCACTGATTGGAGAAACGAATACGGAACGCGTTAATAACGCAGTAGTGGAAACGGCCCTTTAAAGTTAGATTCCCTTGTTTTTCCATAATCATTTTCTTTTTAAATTTTAAATTCCTAAAATACGAATATTTTCGTCATTTAGAAAGCTTCGGTAACTGGAAGTATGTGTGTACAACCAACGACTGCTAAAATAATGACCAGTTTAAGTACTTAAGGCAAGTATACATACATATACTTCTGGTACTGACAATTGCAATAAAAGTGGGAGGCGTAACTAGGTGTCATAGCAGTCCCATAATGGCTAATCGTTTTTGAGTTATGAGAGATATGTACACTGCTCAAAAAAAAAAAAAAATGGGACAGTCCTATATCTCCCGATCTACTGGGCCGATTGACAAAATTCAAATTGCGTTCTTCATGTCTCGAAAGCGCGACTTAGGATATATATTAGTTTTATATATAGCACTATTCTAACATAGGTATTTTGACACAAAATCGGACTTTTTCTGAAATAACATACCAATTTTTTTACATATTTCGATTCTACGACTCAAATTACGCCTAAATATGAAATTTTGTAAAATTTGGAGTGAAATTTACGGAGAAATTCACAAATTATGTTGGCACTTTTTTGTCAGTTTGCGCCAAGAAAGAATAGTACATTTGGCGAACTTCTTAATATATGGCAACCTAGTTTCCTTTCCTGTGAGCGGAAAAAAAAGTCACCATCGTTCCTTTTTTCCAAATAATATTCTTTATATTATATTTTTAATTATAACTTATTATTTTAAGTAATTTTTTCTTTTTCGAATTTCATTTTAATTGTTTAAGTTGCATGGTTTTTTTTTTTTTTTTTTTCGAATAACTATTTTAAAAATTTCTACTTACCTATTCGAACTGCGTAAATAAAGGTTGCAGCATTTATTTTTTTTCAAATAGTTTTCTTTATATATTATTTTTGTCATAGTTATTATTTTAGGTAATTTTTAAATTCTTAACTTTTATTTTAATTGTTTGTGTTGCATTGTCTCTTCGGATAATTGTTTTAAAAATTTTCTATTTATTCCTTCGAATTGAGCATTTTAAATATATTTATTAATATAAATTTTCCAGAATTTGATTTTATTTATTTGAATTGCGTTTCTTTCGGAGGAATACTTTGTAACCCAGACTACGATGCGTTTGAAAACTGCATATATTAAAAGAGAAAATACAGTAAAGCACAGTTAACACGCCTTTCAATGTTCCGTTCAGAAAAGATATATATAAATAAGAGAGATATTTAACTTAGGATTGCGACATTTTAACTTAGGATGACTTGCATACACTGCTTTAAACAGTTTTATCATTGTGCCCATTGCTTTACACAATTTTATCCTACATTTGGCTTCTTAAATGTTATTCATATTTTAGTCAAATATTTTATTTTTGAAATCGTAAAAAAATCAAATATCATAAGATTAAAAAGTTTTAAATTAAAAAAAAAAAAATACAAATACTAAATTTTACCGTAAAATGTATTTTTTCTCTCTTTTTCTTCAGGCATTCTACTTTATTCTTGCTCTTTTTCTTCATTCTACTTTATTGCCCTTTTTCTTTAGGCATTCCGCAAGTATATTAAAAAATATCCAATTTTCGAAATATCTTGATATTTCTGACAATTCATTTTAAATAAAGTTATCGCCTTCCATTTCATAAAGGCCCACAAACGGCCGAGCGGTAAAGTCGCTGAACACTGGTAGTTCGCTCCGGGGTTCGAATCCCGGCAAACGGGCTGGTTGCATGGGCGTTTTCGTGGTTTTTCTCATGTGTAACGTGTATGCCAGCTGGTTTCCCTTAGAAAGTTCTTCACGAAGGCATCCTTCCTTTTAGGCAGATAGCCCTGCTTTGCCGTAACTTAATAATCCAATTCAATCCATTTCATCAGTATTTGGTCAGAGCCTTTATCAGTCTTTAGAGGCTAAACATTTTGAAGGTATGAGATGAAAGGAAAGACTGGTTTCATCAAGAAGTTTTGGTTTATTTAATTATGACAAAGCACACTAGGGCTATCTGCCTAAGGGGAGGGATGCCTTCGTGGAGGACTTTCTAAGGGGAACTGGCTGGCATACACGTTGCACATGGGAAAAAACACGAAAATGCCCAAGCAGCCAACACGTTCGCGGGATTCGGACCTCGGACAGAACTACCAGCGTTCGGTGACTTTATCGCTCGGCCGCTGTTTCATCAGGAGAAAAAAAAAAAAAAAAAAAACATCTTTAGGTGACATCCACATACATCACTGGATAAACTCCTGAATCTTCAAATAATTCGAATGAGAAAATCATGGGATTCTCCATTTATGATACGATATGATGTTCTATAACGTAATTTAAATTTATACAACCATATAGTCTAAACCATATTGTCTTTTCTGTTAACCCACAAGCTCAAAATGGTATTTGCTGGTGTACACGTCCAAGTGTTTTTTTCTTTGAACACCTAAATTCATTGAAGTATCCTGAAAGTATCTTCAAAAGCGTCCAACTTTTTTAAACATCTTGGTATGTCTGAGAGCCAAATTTCCCTGCAAATTTTTGCTTACTTTTCTCTCTAATTTTCTTCTTTCCTTCTACAGTTATTTTCAGTGCACACACAAGAAAATTAAGATTTTTCGATTGCTAGACTTCCATACATTTTGCTTTCTTGTCAATTTTTTAAAATATCAATTACATGAATTGCGTTTCAGCTGAAGACAGCTTTTCATTTTCTAGTCATTTTAACTATAGATACAAAAAAGCGAAGTCCAAAGGATAAATATTTTAATTAAAAGATTTTTGCTAAATGACAAAGAAATAAAACAGTCCAGCAGGGTTAATTCTGTACCACCGAGTAACCCGATTCTTATATCGGCTGAATCAATCTAAATCATATTAAAGATCATGTTTTTTTATACAATCTATAACGCGAGAGAAAAATTAGCTTCTTAAAACATTCTTTCTAAGAGGATTAATATAAAAGATTATATTTATATATATATTTTTAAAGCTGGGACTTGAACCAAACTGTAAAATTTTTAAGTTTAATTTACATGGGGGTTATATTAAAAGTTCCAATTTGAAATGGTCATAAAAGGAAAACTACCGTACCAAAATGTTATCAAACTTGGGAATCGTGTAAAGGAGGTTATGAGAATTTATTTTCAGCGAGGAAAAAAAAGTTAAAAAAACTTATCACCAGGGGGAAAGTGACGCTGTATACAAGATTCTTAAATGAAATAAGACACGAAAACATCTGTTTAAAATGTGTTTAATATTTTCCGAAGCGTGTTACAAAGCATGTTCAATGTAGCGTCTAGCATTTTCCGAAAGCAAGTTAAATCCTGTTACTGCATTCTCAACAGCAGCTCTTAGCAAATCGGGGGGGAATGTTACGGACATGTCAGTGTTTAACATTTTTCATTTCTGCCAAATTGTTTACATTATCACCATAAACAGTGCTTTTGAGAAAACCCCATAGTTAAAAGTCACAGAGGTTGAGGTCTGGTGGGAAGAGGGGAAGTGTTGGCCTATAAGACGTTCATTCGTTAAATGTTGCCTAAGTAACTTTTCTTACTTCAAAATTTCTTAAGGGTATGCAACATATTAAACCCGCGTAACAAAAGGTTAAGTTAGATTCTGACCCATATTTCGTTTAAAAATATTGCATACAGCGGCATTTTCCCCCTGGTGGTGAGGTTTGGAACTTCCCTTTTTTCGCGGAAAATAAATTCCTATGATCTCTTTTACACGATTACCAGGTTTGATAACATTTGATCCAGTAGTTTTTGTTTTATGACCGTTTCAATGTGGAACTTTAATTATAAACACCCTGTATATTATTAATTTTAATTGAAGCTATGCGTTATATGTATACCATGCGTAAGATTTCCGCTTTTATAGAAAAATAAAGAATGAAGCAAATATACTTAGGATAATGGAACAAACTGAAAAAAATTTCCCCTCCCTCCGAAAATGAAAATTGAAACTTCGACCTTCAATTTATTGGATTATCGAAATATTCAATATGACCTATCTTCTAAGTCCTAGTTCCGACAACAATTCCGTCAAAAAATTCCGAATTACTTAAGCTGATGTAAAAGATTTAGTATATATTCACTGTATGTTAGTAAAGTAATCAGATTGTAATAAAAATAGATTATAGAATTTACGGCTGATGCAACTTTTTTCTGACTGCACAACATGTAATGGAAGAGAAAGGTTGTAGAGATCTGTTTTTGACATGTCCTCTAAAGGTAGATGTTCATACTCCTTTTGTCTCTTCAATATCAAAAGAACTTTCCTTTGAGAGGCAACTTTAGTTTTTGGTAAAG